TAGGTTTTAATTTTTGTCCTTTTACAGCATCATGGGGACAGGACATACTGTGCTACTCAGAAAGTTGCAGTTAGAAAGTTAGGCCCACTAGCATTTGCTCAGAAAATGGAAGTTAGTAACTCTAGCTGATTCTCACAGCACATTATTTTTCTTTTGTGTTATTTCAATACCTTCAACACCCATCACACACTCAGTGTTGTGTTCATCCAGTACTACACAAAGAAGAGAATCTCTTTAATGGGTCCAGCTGTGGTGGGCACACAAGTGCTGTGGTAGCGAGTCCTAAAAGCTGGAAATGAATTAACATTTTTGCGCTTCCAGTTTGCTCAGCAGCGTTTTTGTTTTGTTTGTTTTTTTAATGGGATTTTGGCTAGACACCTGAAGTAAAGTCTGTGGTCAGCACAAGGCCAATACATTATCACATTTTGTTCTGCAAAATCAACTACATCAGCAAATAGACTACTCATGGTTTTTATAGCTTTTACATGTCTTAAAAAAGGTGGTTGCTAGCAAGTGGCTAAACTCTGGTACATCCGCTCTCAATGTGCATGTAAATATCCCTGTGCAAGGGGCAAGTAAACAGTAAACCAACATAAGGCTGTGTAGTATAACAAAATAAACAGTATTAACAAGCAACAAACAGTGTAAACAATGCAAAATAAACAGAATAAACAGGCAGTAAACAATGCAGACAGATAAAGGAATGCTCATTGTGAAACGAGATAAATAGGAACAAAAATAGAGTATTTAAACGTGATCTGTATAATCTGTACAATGTATATTTACAGGTATTGCACTGAGGGTTATATATGAAAACCTAATTATCATCTCTGAACAAACACAAGGTGCATCACTTAGTTTATCCACACCTCCATTTATGTGACTTCAATGATTCTCATATGACTGCCAAGTGCCTCTCTTGTGATGTCAAGGTGCGAACTGCTCACAGAGATTAGGTGATGGAGAAACACCTCATTATAGAGCAGTTAAACGGCAAGCTAGAAAAGCAATTCTTTCATTTGCCTTTTATTTATGATTATTAGATATTCCCTTAACCTGGATTACTGGGAGCCTTCATTCAATACTTCTAAGAACTGCTCAACAAACATCCGTCTCAACCGCATAAACAAAGGTTGTAAAAACAGCACCATTACTGCGCCTGCAGCCAATTTCCCCATCCAGCATCCCCTGTCAACTAACGTCCATTAAACACAAGCCGGTTGGCTGGTTTGCTGCCATGACAACAGAGTGCTGCCGGTGAAGGTGAAACTAGGCCTGAGTTTACATTTCACAACTTCTAACAGCTGTAAAACGGCGAAACAATCAGTGTTTCAATGATGCCAAAGTGGAATAAGTGGCCTTGGAGTGTGTATGTGTGGCATGGCAAATCACTTAGCCGCTTATAAAGGCTGGATTAAACACACAATATCTCTCACCTTGACAACCAGCAGGATGTGAGTAGGTGTGCAAGCAGCAGACAGACCTGTTCCAACTATATCTGACTTTCCCTAATTGATTTTTATGATGATAATCTCCATAAATAGAAAAGCTTTTCACTACTGATGGGAAGGGCTCATTATTCTCACCGCTGATACATAAGCCAGGGTTAATTGAGGTGGACAGTCCCAAGCATGACACTAAATAGCTTTAAAATGGCACTTATTTTGCCAGTGGTGCGTGAATGTCACAACTGCTCCAGCCAACAGCAGTCCCACGAACCCACCGCACACACACGCACACTGCTGGCAACACTGAAAGGCTTCCGCTGCGGTTATTCAGTTATTGGGTCTAGGTACAAATATGCCAGTGAGATCATTCACAGCTTGCTGTCAGACAGTCACAGCTGCTTGCAGTGAATTCATGAGAAGGGGGAGAGCAAAAGAAAATGATGTTTGTGTGCATTGTGTGAGTGTGTGTAGGTGGACAGGGGCTCTGATGGCAAGAAAAACAAACAGCATAAAGGTATCCTAGGTTTTCAGTAGCCTATCAGGTCTCCAGTTTTTTCAAGGTGCTACCTAAAGACATCTATGAGATAATGATGATGCATTTTAAAATGCAACTCACTGATTAAACAACATAAAAAGTAACATTTTGATTAGATCTGAAACAATTAGATGTTCAACACAAACACAATTGCCACCTACTCTGATAACTGTTTAACCCTGGAGACGATCTTTAAGCAAAAATTAATTACAAAAACATTCTCTGGTTCCAGCTGCTCATATCAGCAGAATTCCTACTTTTCTTTGACATACATAATTACAAACTGAATATCTTTGGGTTTTAACTTCTAGTCAAATGAAAGGATATGTGAACACAACAGCTTAGACTCTTGGAAGCTGTGATATCCATTTTCTTTAAACCACTTTGGAACAATTAATCAAAAAGGCCGACTAATCGGAATGCTGCAGTCAGACAGGGCTAGACATATTAAACTCTACTACATTCATTGTATCTACACTATGGTGTGGATACCCAAACTGAGCTCAATGGGACCCATCAGCACCCGAGGGTTCGGACAGAAATTTAGAAATTATGTTCAGGTCCGTGTTAGGATCAGACACATAGGTTAAACTTCAGGCTAGATGGCTGGAGCGCTTAAATATCTACTTTGTTTAATGATAAGGGGAAAAACACTGTACAAACTCAACTGCAGCAGATCAGGTCCAGGTCAGGTTCGGACAGAAATATGCTGTTCTAATCCACACCTGTTAGGGGCCACAGGTAAAGTAACCCATTAGATTCCAGTGCACTCACTGTACTTTCCCAACACTGTCACACCTGTTAAAGCTGGCTGATCAGGTAGTCCCAAGATTAATTTTATGAATGACTGACTGAATGACTAGCAAACACCTATCTGTGCTCCCTCCTTTACTGGATGGTCGGCTCAGCAGGCTGGCTAGTTGACTGAGTGATGACCCAACATGCTGCCTTGGAGCCACCCTGCCTTGCTAACCAACTCACAAATTGACTACCTGCCTGGCTGAATAATGACCTAACCTATAACCTGCTTTTATTCCTGCCTGTTGGCCGCACTTGCTTTTAATACTGACACGATGAACTTGACAGCCTGACAGATACATTTATGGTGTTAAAAAAAAAAAAAAAATCATCAAATGGACAAATAACCGGGCAATCCGGCCTTCATACAACATACCACTCACTGACCGCTTCCCCCTATGGCACTGAGGTTGTTGCCCCCAGAAAGAAATCAATATCAAACAATGATTAAGCTTGACGTGGCGTATTGGCTGCAAAGCTCTGGCCGAGTTCAAGAAAGAAGCAGAGACAATACATGACTTTAGTTGAACATCAGCAGCTGAGCCTTGTGAATGGGGAGGAGCTGACAGATGTGAGGCAGCTGAGCTGAGGCATCAAACATGTGCATCCCATGCTGAAAAAGGCAGCTCTCAGGAACAGAACTTCAGTACATTTAGTCCCCTTAATGTCTAACATGCCGCACAAGCAGAATGCCTTTGTGTGACGCATTCCTATTTTTAATATATTCATTCATTCTTTCTTTTGTGCCGTCCCACCTGCATCACTGCCACCTTCAGCATGACTCAGTTTAATTTCAGTGGGCTTTACAGCCAGTGGAACATAATAACCCACCATTCATTAGCAAAAAAAATTACTCACTGTATTCTGCTCTCCACTGGCATGCCTCAAAATGTTTTGTAAGAGGGTTTCCCACAGAATATAGATGCCATATGAAAAACATGTTTCTGTGACTGTTTCCTAAAATCTGTGAGATTATACAGCTCTGTCACTTTGTCTAGTTGGACACATGGTGGGCAGCAGGTCTGATGAAAACCTTGCTTTGTCTGTGACTTGCTTTAGGTGTGTACTATAGGAACCTACTGTAGGAGTTATGTAATTGAGTCAGACCCTGTAACACAAGATGTTTTTAATACAAGTCATGAATTGTCACAAATTCACTGACAAAAAATAAACTGCTGCTCTTTATGGCCCCACTAATGTGAAAAGTTTGCTTTACTTGGTTCTGTTTGCATATATATAGAATTAGGGGTGAAACAATTAGTCAATTACCAAAGTTAATCTGACAACATGTTAATGATTTAAATAATTTCTCAAGCTAAATTTTTTTTTTACTCATTTAAGCATCATAAGAGAGAAGCTTGGTTGCTTTTATCTGTTGACTAAAATCTAACAATTTTCAGCTGTGAGAACACAAGCAAGTTAAATGTGAAATAATTAGTCCACTGATGTAGAATTATGACTCTAAATTGTCTGTAGGAGTGAGTGTGGGGGTGTGTGGTTGTCTCTGAGTGTCAGCCCTGTGATAGACTGGCGACCTGTCCAGGGTGGACCCCGCCTCTCACCCAATGTCAGCTGGGATTGGTTCCAGACCCACACAACCGTCTTCAGTATGAGCAGTCTAGATAATGGATGGGTGGGTGGAGAATTAATCTCCAACTTTTTAGTATAATGGGTTTTTCCAACTATGTCCATCATTTTATGGACAAAACGATATGCAGATTCTATTATGGATTCTTTGGGTTCTAGGACTTCCTGATGGTCACTTTTGTCTATATTTTGACATTTTAAGTCTAAACAATTGATTAATTTATATAGGAAAATAAGTGACAAGTTAACTGAAATGGAAAAACCATTGACTTGACTGAACACATTAGCTGTTAAGACCACTGTTGGGCATCACTTTGGTATCTTATAAGAACCACTTGTAGGTCAAAGCATTGCTCAACCCCCAAAATATTACTAATAAATATATTGATAAGCATCATCAATTTTTTTTTTACAATTATGAAGCTGCAAGTGAGCTAAACGTAAAGATGCACCCAGGCAGCTTGTACAGTCTGTTCACTGTCTTCCTGTCTCACTGGCGCGGTCCAACCAGCAGAGTAAAGGAATGCGTGTATCACAGCTCCAGCACCGTCAGTCCACAGGAGCGGTACGTCTGCTTCTATAGCCCTGCAGTTGTCTTACAGCACAGACACGGTGAAATAAGATGTACTCACAGTCAAGATGTTTCTTCTTGGGTCCGCTGACTTCATGCGTGGTGGCTTTGCACACAGCCTTGCTGATAGCCGAACCGGTCATGCTGTGCTGGGCTGCTGCGATCCGATCCGTGATAGACTGGCCCGACATAGCTTCTGTTTCTCTCTGCTTTTTCCTCGATCAGCTCAAATAGCACAATAACGATCCGATCAATTGTTCAAATCCCTGCGGGACACAACGTGACTTCACTGTCAAGTGGAGGTAAAGGGTTGCGATCAGACACCCACTCTTGTTAATTTCTTTTCCAGGTGCGTACAAAACCTGTGCAGTCTGCAGTTATGTCAGATCACTGGTGGCAAAAAATCTGCAAGTACAAGAATATATAATTGGCTTTACAGTGAAAACCACAATCAACAGCTGATTTGCAGTTTTCCTAAATTGTTTGGCAACAGTTTATCCTACTATCTATCTAGTAAACAAAACACGACGACACTAATCTGAGCTAGTCTGTGTTAGCTAATGTTTCCGTTGCAGTACTCGAACCAGGAAAGAGTCCCACTCTGGAATTTGTAAACACTTGAAATTACTTTCTGGCTACAAATAAACATAGCTAACTGGCTGGTTTATAACCTGAATGATTCGTTTGACAAAAGTCCGCTTCGGGGTAGGTTTTAAAAAAGTTATCAGTATGAAATCACAGCTCGGTGAACATCACCAACAAACTCGCCAGTCCCAAAAAATTCTTGAGTTCCTCCTCCACGTCAACTTGTTAGCTTGCCGTTCAGCTATCACACCTCGCTTGGAAAAGTGTGAGTTAAACCCCCGCTCGGGCGTGAAAAGTGACTCAAAACTGAGCAGCACATTGTTTGACGTTCATAAGAGGATACAGTGAAACTGACAGCCAGAACAGGTGCAGTCTCTCCCGGTGAGAAGATATGTAAGTAGCGGTGGGTGTTAGCCGAGTAGCTAGCGGGGTTAGCTAACCTGCCAGGCAGCCAGAGAGCGGGCGAGTGCCTGTAGTCTGTGACCGAAAAGCCAAGCCGGCGGGCACGTTGAGTTAAAAATGACAGCTCGGTTGTTTCCACTCGCTGTCCTCAAGTTCAGTTGGTGCCGTCCTTCGGCCCGCCCTTCGCCTGCCGACTCCACATTATCGGCTCGTTTTCACCGACAGTCCCGTCCTGTACTGCTGTCTGAAAAGTCTCGCCGCGGGTTGATCTACACGCATCGACTATCTAGCTGCTTGTCTGACAGACAAAATGGCAGCGTAAAAAAATCAGCTGGTCTCACAACTGTGCTGCCTTCATGTGTCCTCCGTAGGCTCAGAATTTAGAAATGTAAAATCTTTCCGCGTGGACAACTACATATTGTTACTCTTCACTCAAGAGTATTTCGATCTTTACTTAAAGGTAAAAGTGCCAAAGCAACATTGCACAAGGGCAATCCTGGTCAAAAACCGTTAGAACGGAATATCTCTGCACTGCTGCCACTTACAGGGTCCACTATCAGCTACTATCACTACGGGTTTGGGGGATATTTCTACTAAAATATTTGAAAAACACGGCATAGTGTGCTGACATTAAGTGTCAAACAAAAGTTCATAACATGTGCTTATTCCAGTAACTCAGATGCGATCATTTCCAAATGCACTTTGAAGATAACATCGTTTGCTGTTGGCAATTATTATGCACTTTATTTTTTTTTCAAAAGACTTACGACATTTCATAGACAAACTAGCTAATGCGTTCATTTAAACTCCAACTCCAGTCTAAAAATGCAGGAATGACTATGGTCTGTAGTGTACATGACCGAGTCTTATATGAAACTGAACAACATGGTGATACAATTACTCTGCGCTTCAGTAGTGCAACGCGATGAAAACACTTTCAATAAGTATAGGCTTTATTGGGATCTAAAACACGACTGCTTAGATTCCGTGCGTTCAATGATTAATCTCTATATTTTCGACAGACTTTAAACACCTCATAGGTTAGGGCTGAGAAGTGTGTGTAGCCTTTAAGGTGCCACGATTTAAATTATAGCGGAATGTATTTAAAAATATATCAAATTTCAAATGTTTACATCATAAAGGCTTTTCAGCAATCGGATTTTAATCTCCGTGCTCTGTCTTTACAGCAGCATTTCTCTCGCACGAATATATTCTTAAGGTCGTATTAAATTATTACTCATATGCGGTGTCCTTAATTGACTCTGGTGTAAATGGAACACAGTGTGCTGAAGAAACTGTGGGAACCGCTCATGCTGCACAGTACACTACCTAGTGGGTATCACACCGGATCTGAGAGCTGGGTAAACCAGAAGGCTATCGGATATAATTAGATGCCAGGCTGCTGTTCTTAATCACTATAAATGGTTCGCATTGATCACAGAAGCATGTGTGTAAGCAGTCTGCCATGATGCAATAAACCTATGTCAAATCCGATTTTGTCAAGACAGTGCACGTTTTACAGTTGATCAGGGCACTAGACCTGAGTAAAATCAAGAGTGGCTGAGTGATACCATAACCCACAGATGTATGTCTGTGTCTGATGGCAGTGGGTGATTTTACCAATAGGGTGTGTCTCAGTCTCTCAGACAGTTTCCTTCTTGGTTTCAGAGAACCATCTGCACTTTGCAGTATTTCCTGCCTGGGATGAGAAATACTGCAAGCTGACCCCAGCAGCAGCACAGTTCCTGGAATCCACTGCTGCTTTCAGCCTCTGATGACCTCTCTTCATCTTCTCTACAGGAAAGGAAAGACTCTCCAAGATGTTCATAACTGATACAATGAACTGTCGAGAGTCGGTGATAAGAAACAAGCGTTTACCCACAAAACCAGCCAGAATTTATCAGCGCTTGGATGCTAAAAGTATATTTGTGAGCATAGCCCACCCATATGCAACTATCAGTGTAACTGTGCTCATCTGTTTTTGAACTAATTTCTGCCAAACCTAATGAAGTGTTGAAAAATACACTAGCTGCAGAAAAAAGGAAAAAAGAAATACAACCACAGATGGAAGGAGTCAGAGAAGCACCACCAAAGATGGTTCAGGTTGCAGGGGGGTGTTTGTTTTTCAGATCTGAAAATAGGCTACCCAACAAATAAATAAATAAAAATAACCCTTTTCAAAAGCCATAACAGCTGCACCACTGGACTAAATCAAGTGTTCTTAATTTAAAAAACAGGATTTGTAGTTGTGTTCTTGTGGCAGTTGTTGCTTTTTTGAACATTTTCAGCTAAAGTCTCATGAGATGTAAATTAAAATAAAAATATTACTGTACCAGATCAGGTGAAAATGAACATTGTACATAAAGAATGTACCGCAGCATGAAGACTGGCAGGTAGACAGTCACACGGATGCCTACAGGGTAATGTACCATCTCCACCTGACTTGTAGCTGTAATTAAAACCATGAAATCAAACCTATACTCTGCTCTTAATGAAGTATCAGAGCCAACCTGATTCAGTGTGTTGTCCCCATACCTATTTCACCTTTCATCCCTCCCTACTAACTTGGAGTGCAATGTTGCCATCTGCAGGCAAAGGGCTTGACTCCCTATTTCCATGGCAACTGCATGCGTGGATGTGGGGAGCCCCCTGTAGCCCCTGGCAACAGGCTCTTGGCTGGGATTTGAGTCCTATCAGGAGCTGTCAATCACAGGATGGGTTGCTGCTTTGCCCAGGGCAAATGTGCTCAGAGAGATAGAAGAAAAAAATCTATTACCGGGCAAGTGACAGGGACAAGATCAGTTGGAGAGACTCGCAGAGTCAACAACAAAGAATAGAGGATCCAGAGATGCACATAGTTTATCCACAATGTGCAAATAGGCTCTAGTACAGTATGTTACAACTGACAGAGTACCTCAGCATCAAGAAAGGTGAGCTAAAGAATGACGCATGAGTGTCTTGACCTTTAGCAAAAAGTTTTCTCAAAAATAGTGTAACCCAGTTTTTGGTAATGAACACTGTTACATGATTACACAAAATCTCATTTTTTTAGTCAAGCAATAAAAAACGTATAGCTTTTGGCAGATTGCTTCAGCTGTCAGACCTGATGTATATTTGCTTCTCTTTCTCAAATTCCTCTTGATGATGGTTTTAAAGTAAAGGCAAATGTTTAAGATTGGATCAGTGCCTCCTTGTTGCAGTAATCATACTCTTTTGTGTTGAATATCAGTGGTAAACCAGGTTTCAGAGCTTTTTGATAACCTCTTTTCCATATAACTACTATACCTTCTCCAAAAATGTATATTGTATACTCTACGCTGTCATACTGTTTTATTGTGTGTACTATATGAAATACATTTTCCTGCTCCTCTGGGATGTCCTTCAAGATGGTGACCAGAAGAACTTCCAAAGTGTGAGGAACAATCAAATAAGGAAATTATGTTTTAACCACAAGGGCTAACAGGTAAACAGGTGGCAAGAACGAGTCCACAGCATGACAGACACGACAATATGAGAGTGATAACAGGGAATGAAAAAAGGTGAGTAGATGGGTAAGGTGAGTGGGACAGAGGTGAATGACAGAGGGCATCTATTGGGCAGATGGAGAGAGGCAGGGGACAGGTGTAAATGATGAGCTTCTAGTCATGTCTTTGGTTTTGGCAGTGTTTATCCTTAAATAAAAGATGTTACATCAAGACACAAAATCAACAATAACTGGTCCGTCTTCAGGATCATTAATATCTATTATATTAAAGTATATATACCTCAAGTACAGACACCACAAAGTACAGTACAGTTCAGTACTTTGAGGTATTTGTACTTGAGGTATCTTAAGTACAGTACTTGAGTAAATGTACTTAGTTACTGTCCACCACTGGATATCATAAATGCTTCACTAGTCATTTGTGTACTGTCTCATGCATTTTATATAATCTGATCATTTTGATGCAATTTGTGTCCAGGGTTAAAGGGATGTATAGATTTTCACAAAGCTAAACCAGTACACCTTATTCTCCCCCTTGGTTCAGTGTTTGAGCTGGAAGCCACAATCATTTTCTTGGAGGATTTCGTTTGTTGACTGCTCATAAAAAAAAAAAAAGATATCAGGCCCAAACAGATGACAAGCTTAAGCCAACACAGACCTCACCAGTTACACACCAAACATAACAATAAAAAGGTCAGTATGACAATTTATAGCATCTCTGTCCAGCTACACCACTTAGCAGCAACATATTTGTCTGATTCTCAACATAAAGATTGTTCCCTCCCTTTCAGTCTCTCTTTTTAAATTCATAAAAGGCATCAACATTTGGAGTTTCAGAAAATTCATTCATTTATATTCTGCTCTACAGCGTTCAGATGTATTCTTCAGTCAGTGTGTTCATGTGTATGCATGTCATGTGTGCGATAGCGTCTATGTGTGTATCCGTGCATAATTCCAGGCTGAAATATTAAATGCTGCTGCCGCTGCAAAACTTTCTACCTGCTGGAGATTCTCTCAGATCACTTAGTCGTTCATTATGATTTTAAAAGATATGAAACTGTTGAATTATGAGACTGATAAAATTTAATTGGTTGCATTAAGATGCAAACTCGATAGCCTCTGTCTTGCAGAGACGTTCAGCCCATTATTCAGGCAGACTGCGAGGTGACTCCTTATTCATCTGAAATGTTATTTTCTTATTTTTGCAAAGATACAGACAGCACTGAGGGTCAGAGAGTGCCGCAGCTCATTGTTTTGGTTTTCTGACCTACAGCTTTACTGTAAACAATGGAAAGTTGTTTTTAGCCCCAAATCTGATTGATCCACTGTAGGTTATCCACCCAGCAAACAGCAGATGTAGCAAAGCTGGTGAACACAGTGGTGCATTCAATAGCTAAGGACAAATTAATTTTTCCTGAGGAGCAGGTGGAGATTAAAAGAGAGCAAAAAGGAAAGTGAATATTAGGCTTACATTTCTCAGGTGGCTAGAAACATGATTCCAAACGAACGCTATTATTATTGCTCTGTCTCCTAGTAGCAGCTGTAGGCTCAGTTACCTGTCACCTCAACTGAATTACTGATAAGAAATCAGAGAGGTTTACAAGGGCTAAGAGATCTGAGCCAAACCAAAATTACTGAGAGCACAAATGAATAATTTTTGCACATGCATTACTTTTTTTTATTTTCCCCTTGACACTTACTGAGCTCTTTACAGTGCAAATAGTTTTCGATTCCTATCGCATATGAAAAGGCAAAGTTTACAAGATATAACAATAAACTTTAAGCAAACATTTTGCCACACATTATGGCTGTAAAGTCATAAAGTCATAAAGTGAGACATAATTTTTATATGAAGTCCAGCACTCTAGTGAACAGAGCCAATGCACAGGTGTGACATGTCATCTTTACCTGTGAAGAATGGGAACTATCCTGTGTGATGTGTGAGTGAGTCTCTCAGCAGAAGGTGATGGCTTCACACCATCCCGGCCAGGGCTTCTGACTCAGCGAGGACTGCGAAGGGCTGGCAGCAGCCGATGCAGACATATCTGAGGACCCACGGGTAGAGGCTGCCAGACAAGACGACAGAAAGGCCCAGCAGCAGGAGGCTGATGAGAAACTGAGGGCTGATACTGAACGGCATGATGAGGGAGGTGTGGATAGAGTCATCACTGTGCTTCTGGCCTAGAAGAATCACAAAATGAAACTTAATTAATATGTTGCAGGGATGTAACTAATAATTATTTTCATGATCAATTCATATGCTGATTAATAGTTTTATTTTATTCAACCAAAAGTCAGAAACTCACAAATATTGAGTTTACTCTCATTTGCAGTAGTGAAAAGAATCAAATACGGTTGAGAAGCTAGAACCAAAAATGATTTTTGTCATTTTTGCCTGAAAAGACACCGATTGATTATCACTTATCATTTTTGTCATATCATGATAACATGCTCACAATGACAATGCAAGCATGCCAATGTTTAGCAGGTATAACGTTTACCGTGTTCATCACTTTATTCACTACTTAGCACTAAACACAAAGTACAGCTGGGTCTGATGGGAATGTCATTAGTTTTACTGGTGTTTGCTCATGGACCAAATTTCCTGGCAGTCCTTCCAATAATTGCTAAGAAGGGCATTGCCATCTACAGTATATAGCAATGCTGCTGGCCTGGTGGGAAACCTGCACCAGTTACTGAGGAGAACACAAAAAAAGAACATCTCAAACAAAAGGGAGACACTCTATAAATGGAGACTTGTTTTATGCACCACCATTTAATCATCTCTAACTGGAATTCTTTGATCACTGTATTTGGAGGATACAGGAAGATGCATAAAAATGCACAGAGAGAGACAGACAGGAAGTGAGTGGCCAAGTAGTCCCAAGAGATAACTGCTGCCCCAGTGCCTCCACAGGTTGCAATGGTATCTGGAATATTAAGTAAGCTCTCACTGCAAGAGTCAGTGGTGACTGAACACCACCCACAAAGTGAAAATATGTCTGACTAGTTGGTAATAGGTTTATCAAACAACAATCCAACATGGACGTGCAATCATAGGCCAGTACTGTGGTTTGCCTGGTTGTCATATTTCATAATACAACATATTTATATAATGGAACTTCTGACTTTAAATTCAGAAATGCATCCACTTGATGGAACATTTTTGTTAGATCAACAGAAAAAAGAAACGGGAGCAATTTCACATTCATCCTTACAAAAGAGGACATGGTCCTAGTAGAAAATAAAAACTGAGCAGAACTAATTTTGAAATAATGTCTGCACGTGTAACTATTCAACGTGGCATAAAATATATTTGAGAAGAAGCCCTTTATCTTTGATTCTGGGTCACTAACACAAAACCTGTAATTTAGCACTAATGTTTCAGAGAGTTGAATATGTTTCAAATAAATCCTATTGTAGAGGCACTAAAAAGTAACTGCTTCTTATCTGAGTCACCACAAGCTGCAGGAATGAGAACACTACACCCCCAAATCAGCCAGCGTGATGCATCACATCCATTGTTGATGTGTTATAGTGTGGATCTCAGTTTTAACATAGAGGTTTGGATTTAGCAGCCTGGCTCTGTGGATGGCAATGTCAGTCTATCAGCTGCTCAGTTTGACCACCACTATGGTTTGGAATGAAGTATCCTAACAACTAGTAAATGCCATGAAATTTGGTGCAGTCATTCATGATAATGAGAGAATGAATTTGAATAAATTCTTTCCATTTGTCCAATAGTAGCAAAACTAATGATGCTTCCTTAACATGCTAACATTTTACACTAGTGACAATGTGAAAACAGCATGACAGTGTGAAAGGGGCCGTTTGTAGCAATGAACCTACAGAGAATTATCACCCGAATCTGCAGCTCCCCTCAGCTTTGCAGGGTTTATTAACCGTTCTCAGCTCATTCTTTAGCCCGACCTGCAATTTGACTGTTTTTATTCAACCTCACCACACTGCGATTTGCCTGCAGCAGGCAGCTCTTTTTTTAGTGTAAAACTCATTGCACACCACCTGCTCAGCACCAAACAGCAGACAGACACAGTTAACAACTAGCTGCTGAACATGTAGCAGCTAACGAGACAGATACAAATCTCTTGGGTTGGTAAACAGCAAAAGCAGAGCTACTGTACATGAGGGTGAATCACAGACTTAGATTCAGCAGGTGGCCAGAAACATGAATGACAACATTACTCTGTTACTGCTGCATGTTTGTCATATTAGGGTGAATTAAAGGGAGTCAAGGTAAAAAAAAAAAGAATAAAAAAAAAGAGATAAAGCTATTGCAGAAGTAAGATTTAATACTTTTTGGTTTCCTTTTGTTTCCCAGTTTCTGAGCATTGCACACTCAGTAATGTATACTGTCTGTTTTAACACACTCCATATGAAAAATGTGCTTAGAATAGTATGTAATATACATTTTTGAAACTAAACTAAACTAAACTAACTAAAAATCTAAACACAAACCTGTTCTCAAAATGGCACTAGAAAACAATCCAATGCAAGTTATTAATGCAATACACAGGAGGAGTAAACAAACCTAGATTTGCAATTATGATTACTTGGGGGGGGAGAAAATATAACCTGCTTATTTTTTATCTACAAATCAAACTCTTCAAACAAGATGTGATTATAAATGAGCCATGTGGAATGTAAAATTGAAATCTACACGAAAATGTTTTATGGTGATTGAAAGCCAGAACCAGATGAATGTGTGAGAAGACTAAGGAAAGATGGAATATATTTGTGAAATATGTGAACAGAAAGAAATCAAGATTTCATCTCTTTCATCTCAACTCGCAGAATAAAATGTGAGATAACCTTCTTTTGCTGTTGTCAGCCAAGACAACAATAATCAATTTCCTCTCCAAAGAAATGAAGAAAGACCAATCAGTTCAGCCTGAAAGTGTAGATCTGCTCTTTCACTCAGTGATGAGCCCTGTTTCCATCCTTTTTACAACAATTGCAGTCAGCGTCATCATGCAGCCAGGTAATAATGGGACAGGAGAGAGCTACTTATCCACAGACTGAAGCCATTAGTGGAAGGAGAAAGAAAAATACTTGAAGAGATTTCACATGTGCATTAGCAAAACTGAAAGAAAGAAGAACAAAGACAGAGGAAGGTGCAACAGTGAAGAAATAACACTGAGATTATTTCAAAACAGCCAAAACATGAATCATTTCAAGACTGGTTCAAACACTAATTTCAGTTTTGTATCATTTCCAGATTAGGTTAGTTCCCCCTCTAGTGGCTCAAAACGTAATCCATCAGTGTTGCAATAAGAGGTGTTGATTTAATTGGCTGAGCCTTTTGGAAGCTGTAGTTTGTACTGCATTATTTAGAAAGAGGTTTCTGTTATGTAGCTTAGGCCCAGTGATATAAATGGGGTGGACAAATTAACAGGCACACCTGTCAATAACGCTAAGAGTTCACCTGTAATGCTACATCTTCTGAAATGACAGTTGAATCAAGACCTCTGTCAAAAAAAAAAATCATGTTGACCATGTTTTGATGGTTTTGTTGTATGAATCTGGTGAATCAGGCCTTTCAGCCTCCTACTGAATGTCCCAAATTTCAACCCGAACTATCCCACATCAGGAAAGACAGATAACCTGGGATAATTCGACAAAAGGAACACTTTGCCATTTCTTCCTCAAAGGTGATATCTGCATTCTCTTTCCTGATAAAAAAAAAATGGTGTGGATATAATGGACTGACTTTATATAACTTATTGCTTAAGTCAAAGTCCCACATTTCCCAGATTCGCACCAGTACAGCACCAGCTGGGTCCACAAACATAATGCTGCTGAAAAAGTGAGCGCGTGGTATTGCAGCTACATGAGAAAAGCACAAACCAGAAGAGACACCTCAAAGGCCACCGCACAGTAACCAAGGTAACCTTACATTAATATTGTTCCACTGCTTTGATTGAACATTGTTGTTTGAAGATGAAAAGAGCAAGTCAGTGTGTGGTCTCCTCAGCACAACACACATTTGAACTGATTCTTCACTTGATATCTGCAATTTACTGTAAAATAAGTGGACACCCTAATGGGGAAGCCAATTATTTAACAAGATGAAAATGCCATTTGTCTTGCTGGTGTTGGTTTTAAGTACCACAGTGCAAAGTGTGCATCTTCATCACACATCAGGTAATTTGACTCTTTCCTGCAAAGTAAAGTGATGCTACATGAATAAGGCAGGGTGATGGGGGGAGAAAAACAAACAAAAACTCTGGTACAGTGAATGGAGATGTCGGTATCAGGCAGAACAGTATGTACAGCTGAGCTGGTCTGTACACATACAATGCTTCTGACCATTTTCTATAATGAAGTGTGGTTTTTTTCTACAAAGCAATGTGTAGAAATGTACTAAAAGTGGCAAAAATGAAAATGGAGAAATAAAAATTCATTCTTATTCTACAATCATTCTACCTGTTGTTCCCATTTTAGAGCAAAAGGAGCAGTAACAGAATGACTAGACCTACTGAATGTATAGACATTTCACTTCATAAAAACTGTCCCAGCAAAAACACTGATAGATTTTAGTGATTTAAAAGGTGAAAGTAGAAGGCTGTTTTCTTTTTAGACAGAGAATTTACAGAAAAACATGTTTGGGCCAAAAACACAGAAAGAAAAATATGCGCTATTTGAATAACGTGGCATTTCAAAACTACACTCTGAATATTAAATTACGCATAATAAGCTACAAGTGTAACATTTCTGCATAAATTATCGTATTTACAGTGTATCACCAAATTATATGACACAGCAGTTATTCAACCAGAATCCAGTCTATCTATCCTTTGACAAATGTACACTCAGGAATCTTTAGTGTGCGTGAATCTTGTCACACTGTCTCATGACAGTTAAACACTTGCTCGCTCCACACACAAAATAAACCTTTAATTTAAAACCAAGAATCACTGCCGTGGCTGCTTATTTAGCACTGTGCCATGACAGCTGCTGTGAATACCTGAAGAAATTGCTTGAATAAAATGGTTCTGCAATTTGTTTTTTAGTCAATATTTAGTGACAGGGTTTAATTCCAACATGTCTTAATAAAATTCTTTTAGTAAATTCTGCTTTTTTGTAAATTTGTCATATGTTAAAAAATGATACTGACCTTTAAATATCTTCATACTTTTCTGTTCCCATGTGTCACTTTTTCTTTCAAACCCACAAACCATTTCATCATATCATATCGTATTGTATCATATCGTATCATATCGTATCATATCGTATCATTTCATATCATCAGACTTTAAGTTACAACACATTCATTGTTCAGTAACGTCCTTCTTTAGTCAATGTTTCTGTCTATGGGTTTTGGACTGAAGCATCCTGAACAGCCACCGAGTCCTTTCTCCTTCACGTTGTAGTCGAAGCGAGGCAGAACAAGAACACTACCTTCTGGTTCAGCTTTGGCCGTGGTGCCATTCGAGGCTCCTTCCTCATCCACAGACATGATGTTTTTCACCAAACATGTGATGGCGGCGTCGATGTTGGTATTGTCCTGGAGACAGAAGAGGAAAGTGTGACAGTTTAGAGAAGGATATGTAAGGCTGAGAGAAAGAAACAGGGGAAGAGAGGGATGTAGTAACAGACACAGTCAATTTACACATCCAGAGGTTCTTCTAGAGTTGTGTGTGTGTCCAGCTGATGAATCAAAATCCAATATCCACTCCACTTTTAGCTCTGTTTGGTTCTCCACCAACTCCGAGGACAGTTTTGACCTTTTGACCTCCTTCACCAACTAAATGTCTGTGTGTTGGTCGGTGCCGCTGCCGAGTGTGGTGAGAGTGAACCGACACAGGTGGTTGTGGGCCATCAAACCAATATAATGAGCCGACATGCTGTTGTTAAGGTGAGAAGAACTGCAGAGTCAGGTAATAACACTATGAGTGACCCCTTTCACATTATATAAAGTGAATTTTTCTGTAGTTAATATAAAATTACACCTTCCTAGGGAGGTGTTCCAGGCATGTCCCACCAGGAAAAGGCCCCGGGGAAGACCCAGGACACGCTGGAGGGACTATGTCTCTCGGCTGGCCTGGGGAAGCCCGCGGCTTC